ATCTATCTATCTATCTATCTATCTATCTATCTATCTATCTATCTATCTACCATGTACATGCCTAGTGGCCTTGGAATGTCAGATCCCTGGAACTGGAGTTACAGATAGTTGTGAGCTGCCGTGTGGATGCTGGGAATCCGACTGAGGTCCACCACAAGAGCAACAAGTGCTCTTAATTGCTGAGCCATCTCTCTAGCCCCTATTCTTAACAGTCAAATGTTTTGTGTCATTGGGAGAAAACTAGTTTTCTGTAAACGAGTGCTGGTATTTGAGATGCAGGTTACCACACTGGTGACTTATTATCGACACTGACTAGTGTCAAACAAACCCTTATCAACACAGGCTCTCACCCTGGCCCTATCCCTGGTGAGATGACACCCTTCAAGACTTGATGGGCCATTAAACTAGTGCCACTTCTAACCAGAATGCTAAGTGTCACAGAATCTCACTTGCCACAGTAAACCACTTATGCTCCTGAAAATGTGCTTCTTACTGAGCAGCATGAGCGCCCAGCAACAAAGCTTTCCCTGGGCCACCTCTGGATTTACATGTTAAGAGGTGTCAGGGTGGTGGCATACAACACAGAGCATTTGAGAAAAAAGATGTTTTGTGCTGGGTAGTTTTGTCAACTTGACACAAGTTAGAGTCTTTGGAGATGAGGGAATCATAGTTGAGAAAATACCTCCGTAAGATTAGGCTGTAGACAAGTCTATAGGACATTTTCTTAATCAGTGACTGATGGGAGAGGACCCAGCCCATTGTGGGTGGTGTCCCTGACTTTATGAGAAAGCAGACTGAGCAAGCAATGGAAACCAAGGCAGTGAGCAGTCCCCGCCAAGGCCTCACATTAGCTGCTGTCCTGCATTCCTTCAGTGAGGAAGGGTTGTGGAAGCATGGCTTACACCCGGCCTGGTAGCCCACACCTTTAATCCCAGCCCTCTGCAGGTTGATCTCTGTGGGCCAGCCAGGGCTACATAGTGTGAGCCTGCCTTAAAAACAAAACCCAAAAAGTGTCATGACTTTCCCCTTCTCCATCCTTGGCTTGCCTGCCCTATTTCTTCTCTGAAACTTAATAAAACTGTCCTCCAGCTTAAAAAAAAAGGGAAGAAGAAAGCCGTGACTTCAGCAGTTTTATTATTTGCACCCTCCCTGACCTGGTACAATTCAAAGTGTTTCTTCTGCTCTCAGTCGCCTCTGTCACTCTCTCGGTGGCTCCTGGACACGCTCGTCTTTACTTACGCCAGCGCTGCAGCTCTTGGGACAAACAGAGACAAATATGAGGACCAGGGAGGGCATGTTTTACTGGCTATTTCTATCTTTTACTTAAATAAATCATTTTTTAATATTTTTGTTTCATAAATTTAGAAATTTTCTTGGGCCTAAGAACATTCAGCTTCCATCTTTAGAGATAAAAACAAAACAAAACAACAACAAGAAAACAAAACCAAGACACCCAGGTCAAGTGTGTTACGCCAGCAGCACTCTAGGTTATGACTGCCCCAGCTAGGGTGAGACCCGGTCTCAGCACAAACACATGCTGCCCGAATGACTGCCGTGAACAGCAGGAGCCAAGAGCTCTTCAGACGGGTCAGCTGGAGCAAGCGCTGGCCCTAGGGAGACAGGACTCTGCTTTGGTGCTTTTCACTTGTGTTCGGAGCCCGTATCTCATTAACGGCCCAATGCCTGATGCAATGCCTGTCTGTGGCAGGCTGCTCGGCATGCAGGGGTGGGCTGTAGGCCCACTCCTATGTCAGTGGGTCATGGCCCTCCCTGACTCTCCAGGCACAGCCTGAGCCAGTACGTTAGAGAGTTTTCATATGAGGTAGCCTGGGTTCCCGCCACTTCTTAAATTATAGAAAAATACTAAACCTTTTTTGGGTAGTCTCCTATGAACTATGAGCTTTTTTCTTTTTAAACTCTAAGGGTCTTCCTTTTTTAAACTTTAAGGGACTTATTAAATAAGAGTTTTGTCTGTATTGCATGTGTGTGCACTACATGCAAGCCTGGTGCCTGCAGAAGTCAGAGGGTGTTGGATCCCCTGGCACTGGAGTTGTGTTTGTGAGCTGCCACGAGGATGCTGGGAATTGAACCTGGATCCTGTGTGAGAGCAACAAGTGCTCTTAATAACTGAGCCATCTCTCCAGCTCCAGACCCATTTTTATATTACTTAAATGAACAAAAGTTATCTTGAATTATGAGAAAAAAAATTTGGGCATTTTCCTCCAGGCTAAGACTTTGTATGAGCTCAACCATAACTATACAGGTGCCACGATTTGGGTTTTGAAGGCAGGGGATCATGTACCCCAAACTGGCTCTGAATTCTCCATCCTCCTCCCTCAACCTCTTGAATGATGGGATTACAGGCATGCACTATCATGTCTGGTTGAAGGAAGTCAGACTCAGGGGTTGGAGAGATGGCTCAGCAGTTAAAAGCACTTGGTGAATCTCCTAGAGGTCCTGGCTGGGTTCCCAGCATGTACAAGGCAGCTAAAAACTGTAACTCCGTTCCAGGGGATCTGATTCCCTCTTCTGGTCTCCATGGACTGGAGGCATGTACTTGGTATATAGACATGCATGCAGGCAAAACACTCAAACACATGTAAAAGAAAAAATAATTAAAAAACTTAAAAGTAGCCAGACTCTAGCCAGGAGTGGTGGCATATGCCTGCTGTCCTAGCTTATAGGCTAAGGAAGGAGTGAGAGCTCAGGGCCAGAGGCGAGGGCAGGAGCGCTGAGTGTAGGTCTAGCCTGGCCTGCATAGGGAGACCCAGTGATGAAAAGGATGAAGCTGCTGTGTCATAAGCACACGGACTGTTCTGTTTCTCCTGCTTTCTTTTATGGCATAAAGCCCTTCCTTCTGATCTACTGTGAAAAAGAGGTTCTCAGGCACCAAGGGGACCCCTTCCTCCTAGCAGGGAATAGTTTAAAGCAGGGAAAACAAACAAGCCCAAGCCCTACAGTCCACCCACATCACTACTGGGCAGTAAGAACAGTCATGTAATGTAAGTCAGATCTTGCGAAGACCTTTCATGGGAACCGCAGAGCCCCCAGTGACAGAAGACCATCAGGCTTCTAGACACTGCCTCCAGAGCCCAAGGGGAGGTGCCTAGTCACTAAAGCTACTGCTTATGGGGCTTACTCAGATGCTTGAAGCTCCAGCTACAGCACAGGACAAAGTAGCCAGCAAAGAGCATTGTGAGGCCACCGACACCACTCTTCTTTATGGTAGTGTTGCACTGCACCCAGCCTGTTCAAACAGAGGCAAGGTACATGGTTAGTGGCTGGGCTGGGGCCCAGTACATTCAATTGCCCTGCTAGCTTGGGCAGTGAACTCTAACTCACAGAACTGAAGAGTGCTCTATTTAAAGTATATATACATTTATATATTTCCATAGACAACAGGGCTAAGCTGTGGAGGACTTGACTAAGTTCAGATCATTTGTTCCCACACTGGGAGCTGGGTTCAACTTGAGTGATACAGAGGAATATACTTGGTTAACTGTTGCCTTCACTCATCACTGTGGGGAGGGGAAAGAGGGAGGGCTGGGGACAGTGGCGGGGTGGGTTTTAAGAAGTGAAAGCCACATAATAAACAGGGGCTGCTGCTCTGCCAGCTCTGGGGTTCTGCAGAAATGGAACCAGACAGAATGACAGTCACTCTTCTTTGTCCCTGCTTTGGTTAACCAGCCTACAGCTGAGAAATGTCTCCACAGGCCTGGAGCCAGCAGGAGAACCAAGAGCCAGTAATACTGTTCTCACCTTTGTGCACAGCTCCCAAGAGTCTCATTAGAGGGAGGCTGGAAGTTGTAAGCGCCAGGGGTTCCAGACTCCTGCTATCAGCCGAGCTTCGTCCCCACCAAGGAACTACGGTTCCAAACAGAAGTCACTGTGACAGTTGACCTAGAATCATCCCTTCCCCCAGCCAGCATGCGGTCACATGTCCTTATGACTAGGCTTCAGGAAAAGCACGACTAACACTGGATCAATGAGCACCTCACTGGGCTGCAGTTAAAATACACACAGAAGTAAAGTCTGCCTCAGGCCAAAAGCTCTTATTGACCGAGGCCTTGCACTGTGGTGAATGTTCTGCCTGCCCCTGTGTGTGCTCATGCCTGGCTAACTCTCGTTTTATTATCTGCTGTGAACTTAGGGAGAAGCATGACTTTACTACAGGTTGAATACCCTGAAATTCGTGGCCCAAAGAGTTTAGATTCGGGACTGAAAATAAATCTGGACCATCTACATATATATAATCTTGGACCCCAAACCCAGAACCAAATACAGAACCTCTCTGTTCTCTGCACCCCTACCCCACTGTCGCCTGAGCCCAGGATCTTACAGATGCTAGAAACACACGGCTGCATGCCTTCACCAAAGAGCTGCATCCACAGTCCCCCACATCAGTCTTTTTTCACATGAGTTTGTCAGATGAACTATGCCAACATATTCTGAAGACTGTCTGTTTGAAAGCATGCCTGTTCTGATTGGGGCCCACCCACCAGTGGCGCTGGGCTTCCAGGGACTTCTGAGACCCATGTCAGCATTCGAGATGCTGCCTTCTAAAGTACTGTGGTTTTGAGCCTGGGGATGATCAACACACACTGGTTCCCTCTACAGGCTTCCCTCTACAGGCATCTTCATTCTAGCTTTATTCATCATGACTGCTCTGAGACCCACTGCAGGGCTCCTTGGAACCGTCCTATTTCCTCTGAAGCATGAATAACAAATGGAGTCAGAAAATGAGGCACATGATTTCTTTCCCACCGGTTTCTCCATGTTCAAGCCAGACAGCCCATCTTTACTGCCCAGGGTTTTCTGGTCTTTTTTGGTTTGTCAGACATAGGATAAATGAAGACAGATGGGGTTAGCAGGTGTGATAAAAGCTGCTATGGATATAAACATGCCCAAATGATCATATTATACAACAATGGAAAACAGCACATTGGAACAGACAGAGGGCTCAGGAGTTAAGAGCACTCGCTACTCTTGCAGAGTTTGGTTCACAAAACACGTGGTTCCTGGGGACTGGACACCTCTTTCTGGTTTCCATGGGCAACTGCATGCACTGATCAACTCCTATTTACACACACATTAAACAAACAAAAAAAACCTTCCTAGCTAGGTGTGGTAGCACAGTCCTTTAATCCCAGCACTTGGGAAGCTGAGGCACGGGGAATCTCTGTGAGCTCAAGGCTAGCCTGGTCTTCAAAGCAAGTCCAGGACAGCCAGGGCTGGTTGCACTGAGAAGCCCTATCTTGAAAAACACAATAAAACAAAAATCTTAAAAACTAAACTAAACCAACCAAAAAAACCCCAAACCCCATCGGCTTCTAAAGAATTACACAGTACATACAGGGTCAAAGTCTCTTAACCGGTGGAGAGCTAGCTGCAGTGGTTAAGGTTGTATACTGACCACTCTTCTAGAGGATCTGGGTTCAGTCCCCAGCACCCACTCCAGCAGCTTTCAACCACCTCTAACTCCAGCACCAAGGACCTGATGCCCTCTTCTGGTCTCCACCGGCACTGCACCTTCTACATCTCTCCAATACTTATACCCCAATTCACATACTTGAAATTAAGTTGGTTTTGTTTGTTTGTTTTTTAAAGTCAAACCACAAAGCCTGGAGATGGAGCTCACCTCAAAACACAAAGTGTAGCCTCAAGAAAACTGCCACCATGGGTCTTTCTTCCCTACCTGCCACTCAGAAACACTAGACTCATCCCATATAGCCTTACCTGGAGGATTGATTTCTTTCCTTCCTTCCTTTCCCCCCAAGACTATGTAGCACTGGCTATTCTGAAACTCCTCCTGTATATTAGGCTAGCCCTGAACTCAAAGACCTACCTGCCTAGGCGTGTACCAGCATGCCCAGCTTACCCACTAAATTCCTATTATGCCTCTTCCCAGTATAGAAAGTCAATTGCTAGCCAGACTGGCAGCCTGTCCCAGTCTAACCTTCAACTCTCAGTGGAGGAGAAGGGAGAAGGAACATTAAAATTGACTCTGGATCAAAAATTCTCTTCCATCAAACAAGTCAAATGTGGGGTAGACTGTGTAGAGAATTAGTTAACTGAGCAAAGGGACTAATTCTAACCCTTATTTCAAAGGCAGACCATTCTGGAGGGGCAGGATGACCCTTGAAAATGTGCTCATTTACCTTTGGAGATGGTCATGCCCTGCAAAGTGGCAAAAGGAGGCATCTGAGCTGCTAAGTTCCAAGGCTGAGGCCTCCTTGGCAACACCCCGAGTCCAACATAAGCAGGATAGAGTTCTGGAAACCACTCCAGTCCCACGGACCTGGGAGGAGCCTCTGAGGTAGCAGCAGCAACATGACTGACGAAGTTTTTAGGAACAGGATACTGAGCTGGGTATGACACTAAGCAGTGCCCTGCCTGGGCTGCGTGGGGTTGGCAGAAAGATGTGGGTTCCAGAACACCCCTTTCACTTCCCACTGAGAGGGTTACGGCAGGGACTTGACTTTGGCCACAGAACTGGGCTTTCTCTTCTGGAGGAGACGTCACAGCCAGAGAGCAGAGGCTCTGATTCCCTGACCCTGACACAGAGAGAAGGTTACTCAGAGCTCCCTGTGACGGCATGAACACATTCCTAAGTTCAAGGGCGGCCTGTGGCTTTGCCTCTGTAGCTGTAATGGGGTCCTTACCACTGTGGCCCAAGCCAGCCCCTTCCTGTACTGTGACAGAAATCCTGTTTTCAGTATTTCTCTTGCTGTGGCTTAACTCCATCCCAAGGCCAAGCTCCTGATGCTCTCTGACCTGTGCTTTACCCAGCAGGCCAGTGTGAAGGCCCAAGAGGAGTGATTCTGACTTGTGGGTCTCGGTGTTACCAGGGTGGGGAGATACTCCCGAGAGGTGGCCTCCATCTTGGGAACCTTTCTCCCTGCTCAACACTGACGGTGCTACTCTCTGAACACCGTGGCTGCCATCGTCCTTCAGAGAATGACAATCACCAATAGGCACATCTAATAATTTTACCCGAAGCTTCTGTCTTTGGAGATCAACTGTGTCCAATTCGAGCCTGGCAGAAATGGCTCCTTTAGCGTGAGGCTGAGCTGACGGATATTTTCTATCTTGATTGGTAGAAAAAGGTTCCATTGAGCTGACCAGCGAAGGTGCTTCTGTCTCTGAGGGACAACATGGACTTCCCTCGGACTCAGACACATCTCGGGTGAGTTGTCTCTTGGGAGACTGAGGGGTCCTGGCTCTCTGCAGAGTCACCTCCGGCTCGGCATGTCCGAGTGCTTGGAAGGAGACCTGGTTTTGATCTTTGGTTTCTCCTTCTGCATTTGTAGCGTGCACACTTTCCAAGACACCCTCCGGAAGTGGAGAGGCTGCAGCTGTCCACTCTGCTCGGCTGGTTTCCACTTTCACAGTTCTTTTCGAACCTTCTAGCGCTAGCTCTTTGCCTTTAGCTCTGGTTAAGTCTCTGGTAGGCCTCTTCTCTTTTTTAGCAAGTGCAGCTGGCTTGGACTGAGAAACTTTTTGATCAGGAGATATGGACAGTCCTATCATTTTACAGTGCGGCAAGTGGGCTTTCAATCGTTTAAACGGCTTCTTACAATAAGGACACACCTCCATCCGGGGCTCATCTCCACTCATGCTCTTCCTGGAAGGTAAAGGTGAAAGACAATGAGCAAGACAGAGAAACCATCAACAGCTGATGGATAGATTTTTAACTTATTTTGTTTGCTCTTCTTAAGATAAGCTTTCATGTGTAGCCCAGGCTGACCTCAAATTCACTATGTAGCCTTGTCTACATAATGAGTTCCAGTACAGCCAGAACTACATATTGAGACACCCCCCCCCAAAAAAAGCAGTAACAACCCAAAACAGTAACAAAAAAAACAAAGCAACACAAAACCAAAAGACTTAACATCTAATAAGTTAATGCTTAGTCAGAGGAAATGACAGCCAGAAATCGACTTTGTTATTTATGTCAAATGGAGGCTACATGAGTTTAATCAAATTGTTAAACAACAACAAAACACAACCTTAAACATTAAGAAAAAAAAAAGGAAAACAAAGAAAAAGACCTACTTAGGCCCTTTAAAAGCACTTAAGAACACCTATCGCTATTACAGAAGACCTGGGTTCTGTTCCCAGCACCCACATCAGGCAGCTCATAAAAGAATGAAGAGAAGAGAAAAAGAGGAAAGATGTGACTGCTCCTATGTGTGGTAGCAGGGAAAGTCTATTGTAGATAAAAGGGAGAGCATAACCAGAGGGAAAGATCTGGGAGAGTCTTTGACATGAGCCCGCAGCTGGGCCTTATGAGAAGAGGAGGGGAGAGGAGGGGAGGGGAAGGGAGGGGAGGGGAGGGGAGGGGAGGGGAGAGCCACAAGAGTAAGAGGCAGACAAAAGGGCCTGGCAACCAAAATGGCTGGATTACATGGGGAAGGGCAGCTGGGAGTTCAGGCTAGAATGCGGGCTATGCCAGCCATACCTTGTAACTGGTAGGGAATGAGGGATGCTGGGAGGACCAGGAGGCCAGGTCCATTATGACAGGTTAAATAGGCACTGTTTGCTCGTCCTGGATTTGAGACCTAACAATAACCACCTGTAACTCTCCTTTTGGGGGAAGCTGGTGACCTCTGACCTCCTGGCCACTGTGTGCACATATAACACACTCATGCAGGCACATAGACATGTAAAAAAGTGAAAGGGGTCCACCAGGTGGGCATTCCTGCCCAGAGCCCTTCCCACTCTCCAGAATTCTTTTTTTTTTCTTTCTTTTTTTCCTTTTCTTTTCTTTTTTTTTAGTTTTTCGAGACAAGGTTTCTCTGTGTAGCCCTGGCTGTCCTGGAACTCACTCTGTAGACCAGGCTGGCCTTGAACTCAGAAATCCACCTGCCTCTGCCTCCCAAGTGCTGGGATTAAAGGCGTATGCCACCACCGCCCGGCTCAGGAATTCTTAATAAGTCATATTCACTCTTCTTGACCCTGTCGTTTAAGGATGGAGTGAGGAAGAATAATATCCATGGGGGTACAAAAACTGGTTAGAACAGTTTCTAAAGTTACACAAGCAGGGTTCACTGGGGTGTAAGGACTCAGGAGAACTCTATCATCGGGAGATGTGGCTCAGTAGGCTGAGTGTTTGCCTGGCAAGCAAGAAGCCCTGGGTTCCATCCCCAGGACAGCATAAAACCTGATACTGTGGTAGACGTTCACAATTCCAGCACCTGGAATTAGAGACAGGATGGCCAGGTCAAGAGACTAGCCTGAGATTCATGAGATCCTGTCTCCAAAAAAAAAAAATAAATAAATAAATAAAGGGAGGAGGGTTTCCTCTAATTCAGGAAAAATGCATCTAAATCTTTGCTCATATTACTATAGCAACACCTACATATATAAAAATAACAATGAACAGATGGACATGGTCCCCAAGTTTTAAGTTATAAATTATATATGTATAATATTGTGCATTATCAGTTTGAAAATTTTGATAAATACATATCATGTAAAAATACTTTCAAAATTCACATTCCACACCGTCTATTTCTTGGGAAGGGAAGTGATGGACTGTTTTGCAAAATGCACATAACAAAGCCAGTACTTGAGCTTACCAGTTTTAACAGTGCACTTTTCAAGACTTTTTAGATGAGGAGGCCTCACTTGGTAGCCTTGTCTGCCCTAGAACTCTCACTAGGTAGACTAGGATGGCCTTGAACTCACACAGATCAGCTTGCCTCTGCCTCCTGAATAGTGGGATTAAAAGTTGTGCACTACTATGTCAGGCCCTGCACCCTACACCTTAACAAGGGTTTCGTTTTCCTGCCTGGTCTCTTGTCTACTCTCCTGAAGACCCCCACGCTTGTGGACCACTGTTCACGTGTTTGGCCGAAACTCTGAACATCAGTTTGTGTAAGACGATCAGAGGTAAGTGGGGAGCTGATACAAGAATGTGACCAAGTACTGAATCCTATACAAATAATTGGATTATGCTCCTGGCAGATAATAGGGAATGCCTCTGAAAACCAAAGTTAAGACTTCCCCAAGTCTCTTGGGCCCAGAGTACACATATTCTGGTGGTGGTGAAATCTTTAAATCTTTAAAATCGAAGACAAGGTCTCAAGTAGCCCAGGCTGGGTTCGAACTTGTTACACAGTCGAGGATGTCTCTGACCTCCTGGTCTTCCAGCCTCACCTCCCAAGAATTGGGATGACAGGTGCGCGCCACTCACGGAGGACAGGGACCTCAAGGGCAGAGCCGCTCACCTCGCCTCGAGCTCTGTTCTCTGTTCTTACGGCCGGGTTCCCACGCCAGTCTGTCTCCCCACACCTTTCAGTCCGGCCTCTTCCAGCAGGTGGGCGTGACCGTTCCTGGTCGGGGCTGGAACTCCGTTATCCCGTTCACCTGTTCCGCACTTCTCTCTTGACCTGCAACAAAGGTCGCGGAAAATAGCCCAGCCCTTAGATACTCCACTGAACGCGCTCCGCACCGTTCGGAGACGCGAAGTTCTCTCTTAGAACCCGGAGCCCACCAACACCTTCCTAACCATCAGACCTTGAGCCTGTGGCCGTCCGCGTCACTGCCTGATGGGTCTCGTCCGGTTATATTTTAAATTTTCACCTCAGAGAGTCTTAACGCAGATACACGTGTCAATTATTGTCAAATAATTGAATTTATCTAAAATCTGACTTGACTTTTACGGCGTGTCGCGCTTTGTTTTTGAACAGGCGCATGCCTCGGACACCTAAACAGGGTCCTGGAAGTTCCCGGTCGGTCCTCCCTCCAGGACCCGCTTCTTCCTGCGTGCGGGGTTCTGGGTAAGCGCGGCCGGCGTCCCGCCTCTGCGCAGCCGCAGGAGGACAGTACCACGGCGCCTGCGACATGGGGAGGCGCGGAGGAGACACCGGAAGTAGCTGTGGTACGGGTCGGACTGAGGGGTACTCACCGCCCGCAGCCTCCACCCGCGCGGCAGTCAGAGCTCAGGATCGTGGGGGTGGGCGTGGCGGTCGCCGGAACACAACTCCGACTGTTCGCTGTCGGCGCGGGGCGGCGCCGCGTCGCTCGCCTTCACCAGCTGCCATGAGCGAGCGCCTCCGCCCCAGGTGAGAGAAGGGAATCCACTTTCTCTGTGGCCCCTCGGCCGAGGATGTGCGCCATGGAGCCGAGGGGCGCCCGAAGCCGGGGTGGTGCTTGGCTCTTGTCTGCGCTGCTCTGCGGTCGGAGGAGGCGGGGAGAAGGTTGCGCGGCCTCTGACACCTGGACCCTGTGGGTAGCCAGAGAGGTGACTCTCTGGAATCCAGGGCTACCCCTTCTCCGTCTTTTTCTTGTTTTCTTCGTCTTCTGCCCTTTCCACTTTGGAATGAGGTTTGTTCGGTCCTACGAGACAGACGGTGGTCCTTCCTAAATTTAGGCGGGTGGTGGTGGGGGGATGGGAGGAATAGCCGATCTTGAAGAGACAGCCCCTTGAGGCGCCTCTGAGAGGGGACGGGAGGCTTCGGGGGCGGGGAACTGCTGGCGCCCCAAGGTCAGGAGAAAGGCGGGGGTTGGGCTTAACCCTGCAGCTGGGAGGGCTTAGGGCAGACCGCAGCGCTGTGTCCTCATCTGTTGGAAACCCCGAAGGACGGATGGACCCGGGTGGGTGGTGACCCACTCTCGGTTGTAGCATTAACAGGCAGGATTCTAAACAGTTTGGATGAGGAGCCGTTTGCCTGTGAGCAGGGAGGTGGCTAACATTGCGAGTTACTCTCGATACCTTCTCCATTGAGCCTGGCGGAGGCCTTAGGCGGCCTCTCGGGGCTTTAAGCCCGATCCAGATGAAGCTTCTTTTCTTATTTTTCTTATTTTCACTCTTCGAGAAGGTGGGAAGAAATAAGTTGGGACTCCTTATCTCAGAATGAAGAAGGCCTGCTTTATTTCTTACTAGAAAGTTTCCTAATATGATGTTTGATGTACATCCACTAAGTTGTACTTTTTCATTTTTCTAGTGGAGAACATAGAACAGATTTAGAGAGACTCGTTTATTTATCTAAGCCTATCCAGGTTTGCGTCTCTATTCCTAGTAGTCTCAGGCTTAAATAAGGTGGGTCATAGGCTTGCTTTTTTATTTTCTCTCATAAACGATTTTATTTATTTTATGTATATGAGTGTTTTGCCTGTGTATATGTATGTATACCGTGACATGCGCGTCTGGTGTCCGCGGAGGCCCCAGGAGGGCTGGGAACAAAACCCTAATCCCCTATAGGACCAACAAGGGTTCTCAATGGCTAGGCCATCTCCCCAGCCCTGGATCTTATCCTTGCATTCTTTGGTTGTGAATGTAATCATTGTTTTGCAAGGCTTCACCTTGAAACAGTTATCTCATGGGATTGCGGTTTCCCGACATTCTGAGATGATTTGATGATCCAGTGGTGAAAATGTTGAGGTCCCTAGACTGAATTGAGCTATTGATTTTGGTTCTGTAGTAATAGAGGTAGAAAGCCTGTACTTGTGTCAAAAAGATGATCAAACTAAATTGGAAATTAGAAGATGCTTCCCAAATTATAATCTGGTCCGTGGCATTAATGTAGTACCAAAAGGTTTAATCTTATGTGCAGACAGAATGAAGCCATAATCTTGCCAATTATTAAAAACCATTGAAAGGTTTAAATTAGGTCAAGTTGGAATTGTGGCCCAATTATAGTCATAGCATTAGAGTTAGGGTTGTGACTTTTTTGTTTGTTTGTTTTCCGAGTCAGGGTTTCTCTGTGTAGCCCTGGCTGTCCTGGAACTCACTCTGTAGACCAGGCTTGCCTCCACCTACCTCTGCCTCCCAAGTGCTGGGATTAAAGGTGTGCGCCACCACTGCCCTGCCTTTTTTTTTTTTTTTTCTTTCTTTCTTTCTCTTCACCAATGAGCTAGCTAGCTTGACCCTCTCTGGTGTCAGACTTTCACAGGAGACTTGGAACACTGTAGAAGGGTAGGTGTATGGGAAGGAAGTCTGCCTTATCACAGATCCCCAGTGTCTACGAATGAATTGGGAGAGAGACACCTATAGTAAGAAGAATTTGAGATAGAGTGTGGTTGTACTTGTCTTTAATCCCAGCCCTCAAGAAGCAGAGGATCTCCTGAGTTTGTGGCCAAGTTGTTTTGTAGAGCGAGTTCTAGCCCAGCCAGGCTACATAGTGAGACTTTTTATAATAAAATGAATTGAAAACCAGTTGCTGTACTTTATGATGGAATTTGCCTGAGGTTCTTGAAGAGGACCAGGAAGATAAGACAGAAGTGAGATATGAATAGTGATGGAGTCAGCTATCCTGGGGGTAACAGATGCCCAGCAATTGTTTTTCCCTAAGTGGAAAGGAGGTGCATGGAAAAACCTTCAACTGACTGTAAACTAGTGATCATGTCAGTTATCAGTAAGGGTATGGAAGGCTGAGTGTTGCTAGGGAGCCATCAATAATAAAAACCAAGAACAACAAACATGGAGACTAGGTAGAGCTCATTCGTAACTCATTACTACCCAGGGGAGAGGACAGCTCACACAGGTCAGAGAGATGATGCTTATACACTGAGAAACTGACATATCTTAGGACATTTCCAGAGGTAGATGAGAACTATATAACAGCCCAGTGCTTTTCTTGTTCCTGGGAGGAAACACGCCCTGTTACAGATGAGGAGATGCCAATTTTGGTCAGCCTCATAAAGTTTGCTTGGAGTGACTCAGCAGCCCCAAGCATAACCAGCTGTTGCCATGCTGATAAGATAAAAGTTGAGTCTCGCCAATGTGCTGCCACTGTGAGTTTCTCTCCCAGCAGACATTGCCAGCAGACATTGCCTTAGCGCTACAGCACAGCCTCATGTAAAATGCCTGGATTGGGATGAAGGAGAAACTTCTTAGTTCAAATTTATATACTAAGTTATTGATCTGTTTGTTTGTTTGTTTGTTTGTTTAGTTATTTATTTTTGAAACAGAGTCTCACTATGTAGCCCTGGCTGTTTTGGAGCTCTCTGTTATAGACTAGGCTGGGCTCACACTCACAGAGATCTGTTTGCTTCTGTCTCCTGAATGCTGGGATCAAAGGTATGCCCTTGTTTAGATTTATAATAGGGTACTCACTTCATGGTTATTAAGACTTGATGTGTCTAGGGCTGTAGCTCAGTAGAGCCCTTAGGACCTACCAAATACAAGGCCTTGGGTTTAACCCAAGACACACTAAAAAAAAACTGTGCCAAAATAAAAACCTGGTATTTGTCTTGTTTTTAATTTTCAAGTCGTTGAAGAATACTGTCCTGGTTTTCTGGGAGAGAGTTAAGAAGCAGAAAGAGATTCTTATTTTCTTGCTATATGTGATAAACTGTGTAGTCTCCAGCTAGTCACAATTCTTGGGCCTGTCTATAACTCCATTTCCAGGGGATCTGACATTCACATAGACATACATGCAGGAAAACCACCAATAAAATAAAAATAAGTAAACTATTTAAAAAGAGGAGGGGGTCTGCTTTCCTCAACTCATTGGCTTATCTGTGCCACAATACAGATTCCCTCCCTCCAGTCCTCCCTTACACACACAGATATTCTCTCTTGCTTACTCTCAAACACATGTGTGTGCATGTGTGTGCCTAACACACACACACACACACACACACACACACACACGACTTGAAACCTCCACATAAACCCTTTTAGAGTTCTGCCTGGAGTTGGAGAGGTGGCTCAGTGGTTAAGAGCACTTACTGCTCTTGCAGAGAACCTGAGTTTGGTTCCTAGTACCCACATGGCAGCTCACAACCATTTCTAACTCTGGTTCCAATGGGATGTGATGCTTGTACATACAGATACACACAGGGAAAACATTCATTGACAGTAACAATGATAAGTAAATAAACAAAGCAAGGTGAGGCCTGGTGGCTCACACATGCAGTCCTATCACCTAGAGGCTTGAGAGGCGGGGACTGAATTTGAGAGGAGCCTACCTTACAGAGCGAGATCTGCTTCAAACAACAGAAGTAGGGGCATTGAGATGACTCAGGCAGAGTGAGGCACTTGCTGTCCATCGTAGTTCAGTCCCTGGAGTGTCAAGTTGAAAGAGAGTCAGTCACATCTACAAAGCTCTCTTCTGCTCTCCTGCCTTGTATACTCAATAAATAATAACAACATCGAAAAGCAGCCCCAAACAAAAGCCTTGTACCCCTCACTCCAGTTCTGACCGTGGAACATAAACCCATTCTTAAGAGTTGGATGTTTTCAGTTTTCAGGGTGCAAGTTCTTGAGCCAGAGTGGTGATTTTGGCTTCTAATTACAATCTTGGTTAGGGACTTGTTGCACACGGAAAGCTGCTAACTGTACGAGACCCATTTTTCTGGAATGTGTGTGTGTGTGTGTGCGCGTGCATGTGTGCGTGCGTACAAATAGGTATAAATAAACTCCCTAGCTTTTTGCTTCTTCTGTGTGTGTGTGTCTGTTTGTGTGTATTTTTTGTTTGTTTGGTTTTGGTTTTTGTTTTGTTTTTGTTTTTTGATTTTGTAACTGTCTCAGTGTGTGGTCTTAGCTGTTCTGGAACTTGCTATGTAGACCAGATAGACTTCAAACTCAAAGAGATCCTCCTGTCTCTGCCTCCTAAGTGTACATACAGATTGAAGGTGACTGTCCCATCAGGCCCAGTATTGCCTTTTATCTCTTTCTTGGAAGCATTTTCTCGTAATTGATAAGCCCTTTGGATGTATGGAACTTGGCAGTACTGCCCAATAGAACTGCTCTTTACTATGTAAAGAATTTTTTGCTAAAACAACATTTTGATAATTCAAAAATTTTTTTCTCACTCAGTTATCAGTTCAGTTATGTAAAACAGCTGATGGCTGCAGAAATGGCCCCAGCAGTTAAGAGCACTTAACTGCCCTTGCGGAGGACCTAGGTTCAATTCCCAGCACCAACATGGTGACTATCTGTAACTCCAGCTCCAAGGGAACCATTGCCCTCTGACACCATGGACATGTAGGCAAAGCACTCATAAACGTAAAATAAATTCTAAAAACGGTTAACCAAACAGAGCTGATACTGTAATTTATCCCACAGTAGAGAACTGTGGACCTCCAGAATCTTTGAAGTTTTGTTCTTTGCTGAACTTCTTTTTCCTAGGGTTTAAGAGCAGTCATTTTTTTTTTAATTTTCTTAGTTTTATATTTTTTGTTTAAAGTAAAATAATTTAGGATTGGCATTGTTCATATGACAGATATTTTTCTCAGTATATAAAATCCAAAATATCCTTATTTACTAGGCGTGGTGATACACACCTTTAATCCCAGTACTTGGGAAGTAGAGGCAGTTGGATCTCTCATGGTGGCCTGGGCTACATAGTGAGTTCTAGTACAGCCAGGGCTACATAGATCCTATATCTCCCCCACCCCCAAAATCCTTCTACAGTTTATGTTTTGCAACATTTTTTATAATAAATTTACAATAGTTAGCCATTTTTTCTTCAGTTATATAGGCATTTTTTTCTGTGGTCTCTGATCAGTTTCACCATTGGTTTTTTAATATATTTAATTATTGTGTGTGTGAAAGTCAGAGAGCAGCTTGTGAGTCAGTTTTCTTCTCCCACCATGTGGGACCTGAGTTGGAACCCAGGTTGTCAGGCTTGGCAGTAAGCACCTTTACCTGCTGAGCCATCTCACCAGCCCCTGGGTGAATTTTTAAGTAGCTGTAACCCCAGCAGTTGGTGGCTTTCTGGGCAGCCTCTATAGCAGTATGGCTACAGTTTCATCAGCCTTGAAGCAGAGAACTAGAGACTCGGGTGTATGAAGTCATTCTGGGTTTTCAGTCTGCAGCATGCCCATGAGTTTAGTACTATGAATAGGCTGCATTACTTGAATAAAAGCAAACAGCCATTCACTTAATATTTGCCTTTACTGTCAGAGGGCTAGGTGCTGCATGGAAACAGAGGATCTGTACTTGAACAGTAGTAGGCTTTTGTGTTGTAACGTTGTGTGTGAGGACGTTGAGGATTGTGGATTCCCACAGTATATTTATGCTGGGTATGGTGAAGACTGGAGTGGCTACAGCAGCAGTAGCTGCAGGACTGCAGCCAGCCTCTTGTGAATGTACTTAATGCATTGGGTTGGCATGGCAGCCTGTGAGGAAGCTGATCTAAGTACTGGAGGGTGGAGAGCAGCTAGGAGCTAGCCTTAGGCACATCTTGTGATGGGTGAAGCCTGGCTCCCTGGGTGGTGCAGTGAGTACTTGGTCTAACTTGAGCAATTTGACCTAGAGAGGTAGTGGGCAGCATGGCTGAGTCTGAGCTAGCTGTGTGAGTATCCTGAAGGAGGTGCTGGCTGTTCAGAGTTGGCCACGAGGTTGGGCATAGCTCGTACATTTGCCATGCTCTGCAGATGCCGGTAGTGAGGTGAGCCTGCAACTCTGCTGAGCCAAAGCTATATATGGTCATTTCAGTTGAGCTTCTGCAGTGAAGAGATTCAGCATAATTTTATGAGGTCTCATGCTGTTTCTGAAGCTCAGTGTTGCTTTGGGTGGCCTCAGATGTGTAGTGATTCTCCTGCCTCAGCTTCTTGGGTTGCTGGGATTGTAGGCCTAGCCATTATGCCTGGCAGTAACTGGGTTTTTTATTTTTAAATTAATTAATTTTGCTTTTTTGAGACAGCTAAGGCTTGCCTTGCTTGCCTGGAACATACTCTACAGAACAGGCCTTGAACTTGCAGTGATCCCCTTGCCTGTGCTTCCTGAGTTCTGGGATTAGAAATGCAAGCCATCATGCCCAGCAGGATGAGGATTTTAAATTTTGGCTTACTTAAATTTAAGTGCCCACGTTATTAGTGGCTGCCATATTGGGCAGGGTATTACCGGCGGTCTGTTTTAGAGCTAGCTATTCTTCCTTTTATTTATTCCTATTTTCTACTTTGAGATTAAAATTCCTTCCGTTGCCCCTAATTCTTGTAGATAAGCTAAATAAGCACTCTGTCATACTGAGAGCACACACTAGAGAAAGATGTGATTTATTTTCCCCTTTTCACTGTCAGTTTTACCCAGCATGCACTGTTGCTCAGTGGTGGCTCAGTGCACTGATGCTGCAGTGCTGTGGTGTAGACTGAGCTTTTCCAGTGATGGCTCAGAAAAGTAATAGATACCCAACTTCCCGTCCTGCCACCAGGCAGACATTAGAACCTCTCACCAGTCTGTGTGCTCCTATGCCATGCCATCTTGCGTGTATTTTAGGGCACTGCTCTGTGGGATTAGGAGTAGAGTGGGGATTTGGAATTATAATTTCTGGGGACATGGCAAGCAGAAACTGAGTTGGGAAGCTTCATTGTTACCCTCCTTCTGTTACTCTGTCCCCAGCAGGTGTTTGGAAGCCAGCCTTTCTCTGTTAGGCTTGGCCTGACTGGCTATCTCTGCTTGGTGCCCAGTGTTGGTATATTTACTATTTTTCCTATTGGGATGTTGTGGTGGATTGGTGTTTTAGGAAAGCGGGTAAATTTTTGTATGTTGTCACGGTTTATAATTGAAATGTCTGCAAGTGCCGTAGCTGGTGACTTTTTCTCTTTGTTTTTAAACTTCAGAAAGAGGAGAAGAAATGGCAATGACGAGGACAGCCACCCTCCTCCCCAGACCAAGAGGAGCAGCAGGAACCCCATCTTCCAGGACTCCTGGGACACAGAGGTAGGCGGAGTGGCCGCAGGCACAGCCACATGACCCAGTCTCTATTGCACAGTTGGAGCTTATTTGTTCAAAGAATACCTCTCCTTCCTTGATGGTTGGCAGCTCCCACTTTACTTGCTTACTTGCTGGTCTCGTTATTTTGAGGCAGACTTTTGATGTGCAGTACTACCTAGAACTCGGCCTGGAACTCAGTCTGTAACCTGGCTGGCCTCAAGTTTGTGGCTGTTCTCTCTCCTTCTTGCTGGGTTGCGGCTAAGTGCTGGCACAGCAGGCTTTTAATTCCTTTTCTGAATCAAAGCCTCTTTGAAGAAGGTAGGCACTGTCGTGCTAGGCAAGCATCATGTACTTGTTTGTTCTCTCTCTCTCTCTCTCTCTCTCTCTCTCTCTCTCTCTCTTTCTCTCTCTCTCTTACAATAGTTCCATAGACTTGGAAACCTGTCTTTGAATCCCCTAATTTTACATTTCCACCACCAGCCCATTTCCTTATGGTTTATAAAGTATGATTGGCCCCAAGGGAGACATTTTGTTGCTTGTATTCAGTAGCAGAGTGCACACACACCGTGTGTGCACAGATCCCTTTTAAAGGGATTTTATTCTTCAGTGTGTTCTAGAACATGTTCTTCCTAGGGAGGGAAGGCAGGAGAGTGAAGTGGAGATGAGGAGCACACTCAGAGTTCCAGGAAGCATGCTTGCAAGTCCATGGCTGTTACTGTTTTAACTAAGACGCTGATGGGTTCTCTGATCAGTGATGCAGATGATGCAACTCCTAACAGTTGCCATGCAGTAGCTGGGACCTCACACACACACTAAATAAAGCAAATCCTGCTGTACTTGGTTCCCACTAATAGGATTTGCCTAGTATCTAGATTCTGTACCACCAATCCACAGTCACCAGGGAGGGGACACTGACCTTCAGATTAATGACCAGGGCTAGAGTATGTTCTGCCATGTGTAGGCTTGGGTTTTGATAGCATCTTGTACCTCTAAAATCTTAGTCTGCTCATTTTGATTTTAAGTAAGTATTTAGCCAAAAAGTAGTTGAGCTGTTGTTTAATGGGATGGTTGGGGAATCCCATTTTATGAAGGAAACTAGCGATCAGAGATGCCATCAGCATCTTAGAGTTAAAACAGTAACAGCCACAGACTTTCGACCATGCTCTCTGTGGCTTTGATGCTTGAGAACGGGATAAAAATGTCTTTTATTTAACTTGAAGGCTTCTGTTTTATTTCTAAAAATCAAAAAAATTATATTTGCCTACTTTCATTTGTGTGTGTTTGTGTTCTGCTGGGCACTGTGGAGGGCTCTGGACGACCTACCCAGAGGCATTGGTGTTCTTTTTCTGACTGTGTGGGACTTGAGAATCAAAGCAGTTGTCAGACTTGGGTAAGGAGGTACCTTTGCTTGTTACCTCACCGGATCTGGTTTTGTCTTTTTTTCAATTACTTTTTATTTATGCATATGTATATGTGCCTATGTGAGTGTATGTGTGCCACATACTTGGAAGTGTCTCCAGAGGCCAGAGCAAACCAGCTCCCCTAGAACTAGATGTGAGTGCTTGTGGGCTACCTGATGTAGATGCTGGGAACCAAACCCTGGGTCCTCAGTCCTCTAATGGCAGTAAGCATTCTTAACTGATGGGCCATGCCTTAAGCCCTTGTTTTCTTATTTTAATCACATGTATTTTAGTATTAGGGTTTTTGTTTTGTTGTGAGTTTTTTTTAAAGATTTATTTATTTTACATATGTGAGTACACTGCCAGTGTCTTCAGACACAGCAGAAGAGGGCATTGGATCCCATTAGAGATGGTTGTGAGCCACCATGTGGTTGCTGGGAATTGAACTCAGGACCTCTGGCAGAGCAGCCCGTGCTCTTAACCGCTGAGCCATCTCTCCAGCCTGTGATTGTTTTGTTGTTGTTGTTGTTGGTAGTGGTGGACAGGGTCTCTCTGTGTAGTTGTTAACCTGGAACTTCCTGTGTAGACCAGCTGGGCCTTGAACTTGAAGAGATTCGCCTGCCTTTCTTTCCAAAGTGTATGATTAAAAGTATACACCACTATGCCAGGCTGTATTGTTTGTTCCATTTTGTTTTGTTTTTCGAGATAGGGTTTCTCTGTGTAACAGCCTTGGATTTCTTGGAACTTGCTTTGTAGACCAGGCTGGCATTGAACTCACAGAGATCCATCTACCTCTGCCTCCTGAGTATTTGAGTTAAAGGTGTGTACCACCCTGTCCAGTTAGGTTATATTGTTATAATTGCAGTTTATTAAAAAAAAATTCCCTTGACTCAGTTTCTACCACCTATCATTGATATCTCAGAAGAAACTAGTGACTTGTGACTTCCTTTGGGTCACATATCTTTTTCTTGCTTGTCCAGAGAAGTTTAACTGTTGAACCCATCAGAATGAACAGTCTGAAGTGTGGGCTAGCTGGTTCTCAGTACAGCTTAAGGCTACTGTAACAACAGCTTTTGTCTGAACCCACTTGCAGGTCACCAGCTTGGTATCCTAACCTTTACATGCAAGGTTGCTTGCTGGGTGTAGGCTGCTGTGCTGAGCTTGCTCTGTAGTAGGGAGTCAGTGAACAGCAGGGGACCCGGAGAGGTAGAAGGCTGGGGTCTACTAAAGTGCTCAGTAAAGCCCCCGAGGGACTGACATTTTCCCACTGGAATAGGTTCTTTTCTTTGTAGTGTAAAAACAGCTTTGGAGACTTGGCTTTTTTTCTGATAGTTGTATATAGAAGAGAAGAGTAAATTACTAATATTGTCAGTTGATTTAATAAATAGTGCATTAATAAGAGTGTTACCTTTTGATTCAAAGGCTGGCCAACAGTTGCATTTTCTTTAGAGTAAGATCAGGACCCATTTCTTGGAGCTGAAGAGATGGCTCAGTGGTTAAGAACTCTGGGTGCTTTTCTAGAAGTCCCGGGTTCAATTCTCAGCACCCACATGGCAGTTTACAACTGTCTGTAACTCCAGTTCAAGAGGATCTGACACTCACACAGACATACATGCAGGTAAAACACCAGTGCACATAAAACAAAAGTAAAGAACATTTCATGGATGTTTCTTTAAATACTAAAGTAATTTTAGAGTTCCTTTTCTGGTAGCTTGTTTTCATTTGGAAGGCATTTGTTTAATATCACTACCTAAGATGAACTTCTAAGACTTACTCTCTTCTGCTATAGGCAATAGTTGGCCACTACTGGGAAATCACTTGTGGCATTGACTCACGTGCAGCTGCTACACCAAGTCACAGGCTTTGGTTGTCGGAAAGCTGGAGGTAGCAGACACCTCTTGCCTTGATGCTCTGAGTTAAGGGCTATGAGGCCTGACTTAGATAGAGACTTGCTGTGCAGGGAGAAGCTTTGCTCTGTGCATTTTCTTCCTCTCATTTTAGTAGGTCTTATTCCACTCTGGTGGAGAAATTGGTCCACAGAAAAGTAGCATACAGGAGGTAGAAGAGGCCTTGTGCTGTAGCGCCTGCTTAGACTCACTTGTCCCCAACTAGAATGAACTGCTTTCAGAAGACAGATGCCAGTTCAGATGGGCTTTGCTAAATATAGCCAGGAGCAGCCAGCTCCTAGGCTTCTCTGCAGTCAGAGAAGCAGAATTCCTTCACTTGTAAAATTCTCAAGTAAATAGTGTGCTATGGTAGTGCCAGAGATGCAGGGTGAGCTGACAGGAAAAGCAAAGAGATTAGATTTTTTTCCTTTAAAAATCCTTACTTGCCGGGCGGTGGTGGCGCACGCCTTTAATCCCAGCACTTGGGAGGCAGAGGCAGGCGGATTTCTGAGTTCGAGAGTTCGAGGCTAGCCTGGTCTACAGAGTGAGTTCCAGGACAGCCAGGGCTACTCAGAGAAACCCTGTCTCGAAAAACCAAAAAAAAAAAAAAAAAAATCCTTACTTAGTGTTTGAGGACTTTGAATTTTAACTCCAGTGACTTAGAGAGGTAACAACTTACAAGCTTTAGGGTTCTCCTCTGCCTGTTTGTCTTCTGTGTGCATCATGTGTGCATGCCAGGAGACCAAAGGCTGAGGTGGTTTTCTTCTACTGCTCTTCACCTTAGTGTTAATTTAAAAAGCTATTATTTGTGTGTATGATGTATGTATCATGCTGCATGTTTGGAAGTCAGAGGACAACTTTGTGGTGACTCTCCTTCCACCTGTGGGTTTTGGGGCTCAAACTCAGGTGGCCAGGCTAGCACAGCAAGCGCCTTTACCCACTGAGCCATCTTATTGGCTCCCCACCCTGTTTTTTGAGACAGAATCTCTGTGAACCTGGAGCTTGCCGTGTTGGCTAAATTGGCTGGAAAGCAGGCCCTCAGGTCCCTCCTGTCTCCACCTCCCTAGTGTAGTCATCTGGGATTACAGATACATAGCACTGTGCCCAGAGTTTTATGTGGGTGCTGGGGATACAAACCCAGGTCTTCAGGTTCACACAGCAGGCACTTTGCCAACTGAACCATTTCTCTAGCCCCTGATCCTGTTTTTACATTGAGTTGCTAGTGTAAGATTAGTTTTTTAGCCATTCTTCGTGAGCCCAGATAGTTAGCACCTAGGTCAGGCACACCTCTCCCCTCAGTGAGCAAGACAGGAAGTGACTTATTAACTTGTGTCTTTCTTTTTATGAATCCTGTATAAAGGCAGCTGTGTTTTCTTTTTTACTCAACCTTTCTTTCCTTCCTTTTAAAGGTGTACTTCATTTATGTGTATGCGTGTTTTGCCTGTGTATATGTGTATCACATGTGTCTCTGATGCCCAGGAAGGTCAGAAGAAGGCATTGGAATTGGAACTGGAGTTTGAGTGGTTGCGAGCTGCCATGGAGATGCTGGGAACTGAACCCTTGGTCCTTTGTGAGAGTAACTAGTGCTCATACCTGCTGAGCTGTTTCCAGCTCAGCATTCTTTTCTAGAGGATTTACTAAGGCTGGTAAAAATGGACTAGATTGGGCAGGTGGAGTGGCTTGTCTGTAATCCCAGCACTTGGGAGGCTGAGGAAAGAGG